CTTCTGCCTCTGCCTCTGCCTCTGCCTCCCGAGTGCTGGGATTAAAGGCTTGCGCAACCAACTCCCGGCAATTTACTCTTAATAGACACGAATTAAGCTATAGGACTGCTCTGTGTATTCTTTTTCTCGTGTAGTAATTCCTGATGTGCTAGAAGCATATATAATTACCTGACTTAATCCAGGGAGTTTTTCCTTTAAAGTGAAGCCAGAGTTGCACTTTGGAAATAAACCATATCTGTTTCTGTTGACTCCAATTACAATTTTTTCATTTCATCTTTTAATTTGAATGGTTTAGGGGGGAATGTTTGCTTTTGCATGTACTTATAATCTCACAAAATGTTTTATAGTGATGAACAGTATAACATTTTAATGATATTGTTCATTTTTTTACAGTGGGTTTTTAAGTTTCACATTATTTTTAATCATGTTGGTAAAGGGGAAGCTGATTGCATTTGATTGGTATGCTTTGGCATTTTTGTGTGATCAGTGCATGTACTAATGATTTCCTTTTATTTTTCTTCTTTCCTGCTTTTTCCTTTCTTTTTCCTACTTCCCTCTCATTTTCCCGTGTTTTATACTGCTATCCCTATACTTCTTTCTAAATTTCTTTGCTTACTGTAGCAGCCCTTGCCTTTTCTCTTGCAGCAACTGCCCAGGCTGCTCCAAGGATCATCACTGGGCCTGCGCCTGTCCTTCCACCAGCTGCTCTGCGTACACCTACGCCAGCTGGCCCTACCATAATGCCTTTGATCAGACAAATACAGACCGCTGTCATGCCAAACGGAACTCCTCACCCAACTGCTGCAATAGTCCCTCCGGGGCCTGAAGCTGGGTTAATCTACACACCCTATGAATACCCCTACACGTTGGCACCAGCTACATCAATCCTTGAATATCCTATTGAACCCAGTGGTGTGTTAGGTAAGTATAAGCCCAGTGCTAGGTGGTTAATGCATTCCTTTGGTGTCCTAGACCTTGAAATGATGTTTATCAATTTTAGCAAGGCAATATTAACTTTTGATTAGGAAAGGTTGAAAACTAAATATGTTTTTGTTTTAGTTCCTCACAAGAGTTCTCCTATTAAATAGCTATACCTTAATTTGTTTTGAATTTACTTTAGTATCTCAGAATCACTATAGGTATACTTGCCATGTACATTCTCAACCGACATTGCTTTTATTACTTAGGTGATTGAAGTTGTTCTTGAGTTTTAGGTCATTCTTGCCACTTTGTCCTAGTGGTCTCATCAACTCTACTTCCCCAAATTAGATTTGTTTTGTCTCACATGTTTACTTGCTAGCTGAATTTTATTCTATAATATTGAGATTTTTATTAAATTGCTGTTATTTGTGTATGTATTTAGATATTTATGATCACTTAAAAGATGCAGTAAGTAGTTGCAGTTTTAAGGGTTTTCAGCTTTTCCTTTTGACGTCCTGGTTAACATGACCAATACTTTATAGTTTCCATAGTAACTGTGAACTAGATGATCACACATCAGCTTGTCAGGTTAGAGGCAAAAATTAAAGTCATATAAACTCAGGGTTTACATGATCAAAAAGCAATATTCTTGAAAAAGACATTATTGATGCCTTTTTTTTATAGAGTGGATTGAAATGCCAGTCATGCCTGATATTTCAGCCCATTGACTTGCTGGATGAAGGACTAGAATACAGCAGCTGTTATAACACGACCAGTCAATGTGGAAACAAAACAAAACAAAAAACCTGTTTCTGTGCAACCCCACTGTTTTACCAGTCAGAATTTTGAACCTCCCCCCCCCCCCCAATTGTGTA